TGACCATAGTTTGCCATTGCAGTTTGTATTCTAACTTCATTTGGAATATTCTCTGGGTTTGGTTGTCCAGGTTGCTGTGCATTCGCTAAGTTCTGTGCGTCCATTTAATATTAGATAAAAATATCTCTTACGTACATATACTGAACATTTGCAGGCATTGGTTCATCTTCATATTCTCTATATCTTTCTGCCACGTCAAATAAATAAATGACACAATGGAAAAAACCTAAAACAAGTAGTCCTATTTCAAACCACATTTACTTACTAATAAAATTTCTTTGTTATGACACTTTCTCCGGTTTATAGGTCCTCTCTCATATTCTATCTTGTCATATATAAACTCATAGTCATGTATGTCCTCTAACCATCTCATAACGGTTTCCAAACCACTTTTATCGGATGTAAAGTAAAAGCATGGATGGTTATGTAAAACGTCTAAAGTTTCTAAAGAGTCTCTCAAAGTCCAGTCTACTTGGTATTGAAAATCCCATGTGTTATAGAACGGCGGGTCCACTATAAAGAAAACATTTTCCTTGTCTTTATATTTTTCATACAAATCTGTCCAATGACATCTCACAAACTCTATACCCTCAATATATTTATCTATGTCCTCTTTGAAAACATTTGTATAGTTAAGATATAAAACTTTTGACATAAGTGTTTCAATGTCATGAACTCTTATAGAACCACTATATAATAGTCTAGCAGATATACTATCCCAGTCTATATATTCTGCTTTTTTCAAAACCTCTCTCACAATATTTTTCTTATCTAATGGTATACGTTCCATCTTACCTATAGGTATCTTTTCTTTTAACTCTTTCAATATTTTGTTTGTGTCTGGTATATGTTTGAGACGGTTCATATAGTTGTCGAAGTCATTGCATATAATCTTTGAGTCTGGGAATATTGTATGGCACAAATGGGATATATAGAAACTTCCACCGAACAAATCTACAAATGTTAGACCATTCGGTAGTTTCTTAAGTTCTCTCAATAGAATATCTTTACATTTACTCTTATTTCCAAAGAACGGTAACGGTGGTTTTGTAAAATTCATTTTATATATATAATAAAAATGTTTTTACCTGAAAAGTGACAGAAAAGTGACAAAACATTTACGATGAAATCATGAGTTTTCTACGATGTTAGAAAACATGTTAGAAAACGTGTTAGATCTAACATTCTAACATAAACATTATTTTTGGGTCATTTACGCTCATTACGAAGAAGTCTTGACAAAACATTTACGAAGAAGTCTTGACAAAACATTTACGAAGAAGTCTTGACAAAACATTTACGAAGAAGTCTTGACAAAACATTTACGAAGAAGTCTTGACAAAACATTTACGAAGAAGAAGTCTTGACAAAACATATACAATGAAATCATGACAAAACATTTACGATGAAGTCTTGACAAAACATATACAATGAAATCATGACAAAACATTTACGATGAAGTCTTGACAAAACATTTACGAAGAAGTCTTGACAAAACATTTACGAAGAAGTCTTGACAAAACATTTACGAAGAAGTCTTGACAAAACATTTACGAAGAAGTCTTGACAAAACATTTACGAAGAAGTCTTGACAAAACATTTACGAAGAAGTCTTGACAAAACATTTACGAAGAAGTCTTGACAAAACATTTACGAAGAAGTCTTGACAAAACATTTACGAAGAAGTCTTGACAAAACATGAAAACATATATAATTTGTGAAAAGCTCCTGGAAGACCTCCGAATAAAAACTTCATTTATGTGGGCTAGAAGGCACGAAGTGCCTGGAAGACCACCCCAAGAAAAAAAAAACTTCATTATACCAATCATCCTCAGGGCTAGAAGGCACGAAGTGCCTGGAAGCCCCACTCCCTTTTTTTTTTTTTTTAATATCCATTATAAAATTCTTTAAATTTGGAAAATTAAATCTAAATCGATATCAGAGAATTCATAATCGTCTAAAATGAACTAACAATAGCTTATGATAGCAAATATTCCTTGAAGTAAACAACAATGATTTAAATTAAAATGTAAAAAAAACTAAATTATTAAATTTATTTGTTTAAGAAGAAGAAGGAAGACAAATAAAGAGTGCCTCCACAAAATATGAGTGCATACAATAAAATATCTTATTGGATGATATAAAGAAAGATCCAATTAAAGTAATGCAACCAGAGCCAAATCCTTTGTGGTTAGAAAATTCCGTCACAGCCTTCCAGCTATTATAGCTTACAACGCCATCAATTCCTCCAGAGCCACCCCCCCCCTCCGCTCCCATTTCTAGGGTCGAGGATATAGTAATTTCCTCCTCCAAACTTTCCCCCGCCACCGCTTCCATACCATTCACCTTTTCCAATACCTTTAGATCCGCATCTATCTTTTTGGATCCATTCACAGCCATCTTGGGTTCCAATTGCAGCCATTCCAGTAGAATCTCTTCCACCTTTCAGGCCACCACCTTTTCCTCCTATGAACATATACTCATTTCCAAAAGAGCCCCCGCCGCCGCCCGCAATCAAAATACGGCTATCAAAATTTTGGTTCCAGGGGCCACTCGAGGTTCGAAAGTCAGAGGCACCACCACCACAGCCATCGCCATTATTCAGGCCACCAGCCCCACCGTTATATGAAGGGCCATAACTGTCTGTAGTGTTTGCAGTGCCTCCAAGATGGAGGTAAAGAGTTTTTATCGAATCAACAATCAAAACACCGGCTGAATGGCCGCCGGTACCACCTTCAACAAGTGGCCCTTGGTTTCCATTAGTGACATTGCCGCCTTGGGCACCCCAAACTTCAAGAAAGTATTTTCCTCTTGAAAGATGAATCTCATATGGGTAACAATCAAAATGACTGGCGCAAGGGTATTCAAAGAAGATTTTACGAGGGTTACTGGGTGTTTCATGTACCTTTGAACGAATCCCATTAGTAACTTTGACTAAGTTATGGAAAAAATATAGGACTTCATTTGTCATGTTGTTTTATGACGAGAAACTTTGGATTAGGGTTGTTAGATTCCCGACGATAGGTGTCTTGGAAGATTTGCCTGGTGTCATCATAGTGTCTTTAAATCAAAAATTTTATTTTGGAGTTAGTTTTATTGATTTTTCAATAAAAAACATTTCTAAAACAAGAAAATAAAACGATAAAATATTTATATTTTATATAAGGATCTTATATATTTAAAATAAATATCATTTTATTTTTTTCATTGGTGTCTGTCAAACCATAATACACTATTCAAAAATTCTAGGGTTGTTAAAAATATCAAAAATTAGCGTTTTGAAGACACCATGGTGTCTTATAATTTTCCCTTCCTTATTGGCGTGTAGAAATAAATGCGCCAATAGATTGAAGAAGAAGAATTGTTTTTCTCTTAATGAACTTTCATGTGTCTTGCGGTTTCAAAAGACACCTTCAAATTGAACGATAGCACAGACACTATTGAATTTTACCCATTTTATTTAGTTTTTACCCTTTTTATTTTTAAGAATTAATGACTGAAACAGCCGTTTTGCTATGACCTCAATCACTTTTATTTATTATTTTAAATATTATTTAATTTTATTATTTGAATAGGCCAACTTATATTTGAGAAGCTCAATTTGAGACCACTTAATACATTGAAATATCATAAATATTGAAATATTAAAAAGTGTATTTCAAAATATTGAAATTATAAAAATTTATAATACTGAAATTGAGACAAATTAATAAATTCAATGTGTTTTTTTTGAAATAACTCTCAAATATTATTTTTTTGTTTATTTAATGATGAATAAATATGATTGCTTTAGTCAATCATAAAAACTAATTTAAGTTTAAAATAATGAAAGGATAATTTGATCGTTTTGTAAAATACAATTATTTTGATGATTTGCAAGAATCTTTGAAAAGAATATAATATAGGTTCTATTTTTGTAAAATTTATCCAAATCATGTATTACATAAATTACGATTAAAACGATGAAAGAACCAAAAGTGTGTTTTGTGTTTTGTTGTTGCGTGTTGGATGCGGGATCCTGTTATTTCCGAAATCGACAAAAAATTTGGAAATTTAATTTCCGAAATCGAAATTATATTAATGTTTTTAATATTCTTATATCAAAACGATTAAAGTTCATTAAGAGAAAAACAATTCTTCTTCTTCAATCTATTGGCGCATTTATTTCTACACGCCAATAAGGAAGGGAAAATTATAAGACACCATGGTGTCTTCAAAACGCTAATTTTTGATATTTTTAACAACCCTACTTTGGATCCATTAGTCGTTTGATTTTATATCTAGGCTTATTCCTATGCATGGAAAATAAAAAATTGGTACCTTTTGGTCTAATTGGTTGGTTCATAAAATTGATAGAAAATTCCGTTGGGATTCATTCAAAAATATGACACTTTTCATAACAAAAGTCAATTAAATAAGCCAAAGATTGTGTTAAATAATTCTAATTCAATAAAACAACCTCATTTAAATGTATAACTTTGACAAAATAATCTAGATTAAAATTTGAATTTTTTTATTCTAACATATAAACAAAAGTTGGCTTACAAACCAGTATAATGGTGCATAAAATGAATTGCATGAACATATTTTGTAACCAATCTCAATCAATGTAATAGAGGCAGTTCCAAATCCTTTATGATTTGAATATTCTGTCAATGCTGTCCAAGCGCCATAACTAATAACTCCATCAATGCCGCCAGAGCCCCCTCCGCCGGCACTGCCATCTTCATCGCCTACTTTATAATTACCACCGCCCCATTTTCCTCCACCCCCACTTCCAAACCAACCTCCTTTACCAATTCCTTTTGTTCCACATCGTTCAGGTTGATCGCCACTGCATCCGGTTTGAGTTCCTATTGCAGCATGGCCAGTGGAATCTCTCTCACCATTAATTCCACCACCTCTGCCACCTATATATACAGCACTATTGCCATAAGAACCCCCGCCGCCGCCCGTTATCAGAATGCGGCTGTCAAAATTCTGGTCCCAGGAACCATTCGATGTTCGAAAGTCAGAAGCACCACCACCACAACCATCACCATTATTCACTCCATTACCACCACCGTTATACGTTACTCCTTGTAAATGCTGAAGGGAATAGAGTCAAAAAATTCAATAGATCCTTCACAGGTACCATTAAAATCACCTCCAATATATACACTATCATTGGAACCGAAGCTTGTTCATATTGTTTGTGCACTAAACTTGATTTAAGCCAATCTCATATAGAGGTAATTGAATATGGAGCGTTCTTATGGGCTTCACTTACAAGTGTTATCTTCTCGCCTTATATCACTACATTAAATGATAATGCATTTGGCCTTTGTCCTCTTACATCAATAAATATTGTCTCTACTATTAGATTTATGACAGGCTTTTCATTTAATCAATGCCCTTTCCTAGATACTCTGACTGTTGATCCGCAAAATCCATATTTTTATTCTGAAAATAATTTTATTTTTTCGAAAAATGGATCAATATTAGTTCGAACTCCCATTAACTTCGAAGAAGAAGATATACCTAATAAAGAAAATATCCAAGTTTTAGGCAGATGCCTCAGTAGCGGCAGTACATATAAACAGTTTATTGGTTGGGAGAATCTTTCGAGAATTGATGGATACACATTTCATGCAAGCCCCAATCTGAAATTAGTTGATATATCAATGACGCATATCACTTCGATCCCAGATCATGCATTTCAAACATGTCCTATTTTAACAGATATCCGACTTCCTGGAAACTTAACCAGTTTACAAGATCATGCATTTACCTATAATATTCAACTTAGATCCATTTTTATTCCAATAAAAGTCTCTGAAATCAATAATTTAGCTTTTGTTGATTTACATAACTTGAGATTAACAACATATTACGGAGAAACATCTTTTGAATCACCTGATATAATTAGCGATTGTCCTCAATTAAAAACAGTTAGAGTAATTTTTTCATATCCATCAGACAAATTTGGAAACATCAATGTAGTAAGAAATGCATATATGCTTGGAAATACCGAAATATGCCCATCTATCAATCATAAATATTGCTTATTCAATAACTTTAATTCACTTTTCTTATTTACAGTTTTTATCTCAATGTAAAATATCAATCTTTTTTTGATTAAATTTGAGTTAAACTATGAGAAAAAAAATTCAATCTTATCATTAGTAGGATAGGACGGGGTTTGTGACTTTTTTTGTTACATCTATATATAGACGATGCATTAAAATATATTTATAAATAAATCATTAAAAAATTAACATTAATTTTAAAATAATTTATTTTTTATCTTTTATAAAAGAAGCTATATATAGATGATGTCAGATATTCCGCGATTAATTAAACATTGTTTAAATCCTGAATGGGTTAAACTTCAATTTAAAAATGAAGATTGTGAATTATTAAATGAATATGAAAGCCAAAATAAGTTAATGAGGTATAAATATAATGATGAAGAATATTTAATTTCATGGAATCAATGGAGTCATAATCAAAGACCTCATAAACGAGAAGAAGAAATTGAAAATAATGAAATGGAAATCATTGATGACATTAAAGAGGATGGAATTCCTAAATTTTGTAGAAAAACCTTTAGAACTAAGTTAGGAGCATATAAACGTAGAGTATTAAATCCTGAATATCTTAAACATCAATTTAAAAAGGAAGACTGTGAATTATTAAACGCTAATGAATATGAAAATGCTAAATCAAAACTGAGATATAAATATATTGGAAGTGATGAAAGGTGTAAAGATAAAGATAAAGTTTATTCAGTTTCATATAATAACTGGCACACGTTAGGGATAAGAAAACATTTATGAGATTATGGTAAAAGTTCTGAATTCTTTAAATCTAGTATATACGAGAGAGTAAAAGAAATTAGAAATAATTATTTTCATGAATAAAAATAAACTTTAAAAATTCATGTCTTACATTTTGAATAATTTATTTTTAATTCGTATGAAACCGATTTTAAAAATAAATGAAACAGAGGAGGAAGAAATAAATGAAAGTGAAAATGTTCAACAAAAAATAAACGTTGTTAAACCATTTAAACAGATTTCTCAATAGTGCTAAAATGCAGGAAATTCTTGAGTTTTGGTTGAAAGAATACGGTGGAGCCAAAAGTGGCCCGACCTCAAAACAAGCATTTTATGAGCTTACAAAGGGTGTTATAAATGAATTCAAAGGTATTTACATACATCCTGACCTCGTTCATTTTGTTGCTGAATGGTGCTCTGTAAAGTATGCATTTTATGTCAAATATATTATGGATTCCATAGACAAGAAAGTTCATGAGAAGTTAGATGAAGAAGAACTCGAAGATACAGTAGAGAATGCTAAACCTTTGTTCGAACAAGAAGTTAGAAAAATGCGCGAAAAACAATTAGAACATGAACGTGAGATATGTTATGGTTATAGAGATTCTCCATTCGAACTAGACCAATGGGAACAAGAAAATTTAAAGAGAGAATTTAGAGAATATGAACTCGCTAAGATAGCATTAGAAGCTGCAGAAAAGAAGTTAAAAGCTTGGGGTCGTTTTGTACAAAAATATTGTGAGTAAATGTTTTCAGGTCATTCAATAATTAATTATTTTTGAATAACTGAAGGTGTTACCATGTTACCATGTGCTACCAGGTTATTTAACTTCTCTGAAAAAATGATGACAACATGACATTTTGACAACAGTCGGGGAAATAAATGTTTACGTTAATGTTTACGTTAATGTTTTCAGGTCATTCAATAATTAATTATTTTTGAATAACTGAAGGTGTTACCATGTTACCATGTGCTACCAGGTAAATTAACTTCATTAAAAAATGATGACAACATGACATTTTGACAACAGTTCAGGATTAATGCAAAAATAAATTCAAATCATACTTTATACTGCCTCATTTACAGGTATTTCATCGTCAGTAAATGAATCCTCATTATTGTTTGGTTCAATTTGTTTATATAATCCTTTCATTTCTTCTTTCAAAACATAATACCATGTCTGTTTACCATCTATTCTTCTATGTTTCCTATCACATTTATCCTTAATGCTCATTTGGAAATTTTTGTCTTTCATGTCTGATGGTTTGCAGAATAGAGCATTTTTACACGTCATACCTGCACACAATTCATCATAATGTGTATTTATCCATTCATCTAAAGGATTTGTTGATAATTCTATTAAATCTTGTTTGGCTTCAGTCATCGGTATAATTCGTACATTAAATGATGAAAGGTCGTAATTGATAAAATATGTTAGTAAATTATCATAAAATTCCTTTGTGCATGAATCCATTAAATTCTTGAAGTAATCAAATTGACCCTTAAATTTACCATTAACCCTTAAAACTACATATCTTCTGTCTCCAACTTCAATTTTGACAGGGTAAACGTTATTAGTTACGAAAATGAAGTTTGCAACGTTCTGTGCTGTTCTTCTGGGTTGATTCTTTTCATTAATTCTTATCTCATTATCCGTAATAATTGATTTCAAAGCGTTGAAGTTTGCGAGTCTGTCTTCACCTACATTCTTGAGTTCATTAAGTACAAGAAACATTTTATTCTCAACTACTGAATTGAAATTACCCGTTACCTCACTTATTTCAGTAATGTTTTTACATGAATAACCAGCGAGGAGTTCAGAAATAATGTCTGTAAATCTGTTTTTACCTGTTCCCTGAAGTCCTTTCAAAATAATTGCTGTTTCATTCTTGATTCCAGGATGTTGAATCATTGATGCAATCCAGCCGAGAAGGTATTTATACACTTCATCATTATTATCACAAATGGCTTCTTTAATGAAATTCATAAACATCTCAATTTTTGAGTAATCTGGTTTTTCGAGAACGTTGTATTTATAACCTTGAAACGTTGAGAAAACATCTGGGGAATCAGATTTAAAGCAAACACCCTTAACAGTTAATGAAGACAATTGATTTAGTAGTACATCCCATGCTGTTATTGTTTTACCTTCTTCTTTAAATAATTTAATCATTTTGAGTGACTCTTTCATGTTTGATTGAAGAACGAATGATATTTGATTCATTTTATCATGAATATTATAGTCCTTTTGAATGAAATATTTATTTCCACAATCTACAAAACGGATTACACGCGATAAATCTTCAATTACTTCAGAACTGTTTTTATACTGATGATTTTCAGCTTTACGTCTAATATCTGTTATCAAGAATGAATCATCAAGTTTTATATCAAATGTTATTTTTGGTTTACATAATAAAGGTAAAACGTATTCATCATAATATTCTTTTTGATAAAGTTTCAGAATCTTCACTAAAACAAATGGAGAAGTCATTAAATGTGCATATCTACTACGTGCTTTTTCAAAATTACTTTTTGCATTTTCAGTTAAATTGCAGAAGTTATAAACGTTGTCATATGCTTCATTAATTAAATGATTAGGTAACGAATTAATAGCTTGAAACAGTGTGAATAATGTAACTTCTTTTTCTAAATTCATGTTTCCACCGTCATTATGTACTTCAAAATCACTGATGCCATCAACTATGCTTTGAGCTAGTTTATCGTCAATGTTTACATCTTTGTTTTCATTCATTATATTCTTTATTTCTTCGCTCTTCTGTTCAACTCTTACCTTAATATTTAAATCATTTAATATATCATTCACTGTTCTAGTTAATGTTGAATCATAACTTCCACGAATGAATGAGTATGTATTGATTGGTTCTGTTGCATTCTTGCGAACTCTTGAATCAGCCATAACTACTAATGAACGCTTTGAATCATCCATTGAAGTCATTATGTCGATATCATAATCATTGCAAGAATAACATTTAATCATTCTGTTCGAGGTTGAATAGAAGAAATTAGTGTTGCAATAAATGTGAAGACCTCCTGAAGCGGTTTTAACGATAACATCTTTATCCGAAAGTTTTGATAAAATGTCTTTTCTAACTGTTTCTTTAAGTTCATCATTGTATGATTTATTGATATCAACATCTATAATCGTTAAATTTGATATTTTATTTACTAATAAAGCCATACCAGTTTTCCTTCCTCTTCCTCCATCATGTTTGAGATAGTTATGTAAATCAATCTTGTTTTCACCAATTCTTTCGTTGAGGGTTTTAGTTTCTGCCACAACTAATTCCTCAGCTAATGAATCAATAACTTTTTCATCAGAAACGATAAAGTTGCTGTTGTTGTTTGTTGCTGTCATTTATATAGGAATAAAAATAATTTTAAAACTAACTTTATTTTTGGACTGCATCAAATTTCCTGAACTGTTGTCAAAATGTCATGTTGTCATCATTTTTTCAGAGAAGTTAATTTACCTGGTAGCACATGGTAACATGGTAACACCTTCAGTTATTCAAAAATAATTAATTATTGAATGACCTGAAAACATTTACTCACAATATTTTTGTACAAAACGACCCCAAGCTTTTAACTTCTTTTCTGCAGCTTCTAATGCTATCTTAGCGAGTTCATATTCTCTAAATTCTCTCTTTAAATTTTCTTGTTCCCATTGGTCTAGTTCGAATGGAGAATCTCTATAACCATAACATATCTCACGTTCATGTTCTAATTGTTTTTCGCGCATTTTTCTAACTTCTTGTTCGAACAAAGGTTTAGCATTCTCTACTGTATCTTCGAGTTCTTCTTCATCTAACTTCTCATGAACTTTCTTGTCTATGGAATCCATAATATATTTGACATAAAATGCATACTTTACAGAGCACCATTCAGCAACAAAATGAACGAGGTCAGGATGTATGTAAATACCTTTGAATTCATTTATAACACCCTTTGTAAGCTCATAAAATGCTTGTTTTGAGGTCGGGCCACTTTTGGCTCCACCGTATTCTTTCAACCAAAACTCAAGAATTTCCTGCATTTTAGCACTATTGAGAAATCTGTTTAAATGGTTTAACAACGTTTATTTTTTGTTGAACATTTTCACTTTCATTTATTTCTTCCTCCTCTGTTTCATTTATTTTTAAAATCGGTTTCATACGAATTAAAAATAAATTATTCAAAAATGTAAGACATGAATTTTTAAAGTTTATTTTTTATTCATGAAAATAATTATTTCTAATTTCTTTTACTCTCTCGTATATACTAGATTTAAAGAATTCAGAACTTTTACCATAATCTCATAAATGTTTTCTTATCCCTAACGTGTGCCAGTTATTATATGAAACTGAATAAACTTTATCTTTATCTTTACACCTTTCATCACTTCCAATATATTTATATCTCAGTTTTGATTTAGCATTTTCATATTCATTAGCGTTTAATAATTCACAGTCTTCCTTTTTAAATTGATGTTTAAGATATTCAGGATTTAATACTCTACGTTTATATGCTCCTAACTTAGTTCTAAAGGTTTTTCTACAAAATTTAGGAATTCCATCCTCTTTAATGTCATCAATGATTTCCATTTCATTATTTTCAATTTCTTCTTCTCGTTTATGAGGTCTTTGATTATGACTCCATTGATTCCATGAAATTAAATATTCTTTATCATTATATTTATACCTCATTAACTTATTTTGGCTTTCATATTCATTTAATAATTCACAATCTTCATTTTTAAATTGAAGTTTAACCCATTCAGGATTTAAACAATGTTTAATTAATCGCGGAATATCTGACATCATCTATATATAGCTTCTTTTATAAAAGATAAAAAAATAAATTATTTTAAAATTAATGTTAATTTTTTAATGATTTATTTATAAATATATTTTAATGCATCGTCTATATATAGATGTAACAAAAAAAGTCACAAACCCCGTCCTATCCTACTACTCTTATCTCAATCACTGGCTTTTTTAGATCTTTTGTCACTTTCATTCATATATCAGACATGTATCTAATCAAATTTCCAAAATGTATATCACATGAAAACGATTATTTATGGGTGCACTTACCACTTTCTGACATTCTCTCAATTTTTTGACACCTTAGCTATTAATCTAAATTATCTAAGGTAATTCCGCATGATCTGCAAGACAGATTTTTAAATAAATAGTACCAATAGCATCATTAGGTATATACAATATGATTCTTTTTTGAGAAGTTACTAAAAAGATAAAAAACGAAGTTATTGTATAATTTTTTCATTAGGTCTGTTTAGTTCTAAGATTTATACTTAAATGTCTATTCTATTTACTTCTATAAAATGAATATTAACAAGTTTATATTTCTAATCAGCAAAAATAAAAATGCAACATATGAAAAAAAAATGAGTCAAATCCACTTTGGCAATTAACAAAAGCATTTAGTTTTCGACATTTCCGAAAAGCTTAGCCTGATATGCAAAGAGCGTCATTCCGTTGTAATCGTATGGAACCAACTTTTTCGAAAATTTTTAGATAAAAGTGACAAAAATTTTGTAATGGAAAATAATAATATTATCACAGATCCTTCAACTAAAGCGACCAAAATTGCGACATTTCTTTGCATTCTTCATTGTTTGCTATCATTTTTAGCATATTTACCTCGTTTTCAACCATATATTGAATTCAAAGGCGATAATTTCTACAATAAGTTCCCTAAAATTTGGATTCTTTTCAGCGGATCATTCGTTTCTGATTCGATTTTTAGTCTATTTTTCGCTTGCCTCGGTTACATTTACACATCTCGTATTTTAGAAAGGATATGGGGATCTAAAGAATATCTTAGATATGTCACGATGACATGTATATACGCAAATCTTCTTCAAATCTTATTGATCGGTCTTCTTTACCTCATTACACAAAACAAACTTTTCCTATCAAGAAAGTTCGATACAGGTGGCGCTCTCTCCATGGCTATGGTAATAGCAATCGCCAAAGTATTTAAAGACATTTCTGTCCCTACACAATGCGGAAATTTCAAACCAAAATATCTTCCTTTCATTTTTTACATTGTTTCCCTCTTTTTCCTTCCTATATCAGGATGCGATAATCTTCTCTCCTCAATTATGGGTACAAATTGGGCAATTTTATATTTAAGATATTTACAGCCACATAATGGTAAGCGTGGTGATAAAGATGTATCATTAGATAATTTGATACCAAATCCATTCTGTTCTTGCTGTTCTGGTTTACAAGAAGATGATCCAAACGATCCTGAGCTTGCAAACCAATTCCGCGGTCAAGCAAGAATGGTTACACCAGATGGACAAGAATATCATCCACCAAATCCGGATAATGATCGTATAAATAGACCTCAACAGCCAAGAAGAGATATCTTCACTGGAACGGCTCATCGTATCGAATAATATATCTTTTCTTTGTTAATAATAAATGTTTTATATAATACATTTTCATTTAAGCAATTTTTACTCTCATATTCAAATTTATTAAAAGAACAATGGAAGAAAATAACATACATGGTTAACTTATAATTTTGTAAAAAGTCCGTTAGTATATATTATAATGAAAGTCAATTTGGGGCATTATATTGGAATATATTTTATATTTATAAAGGATTTAAGAGGTTTTACATCAATGAATATTAACATCACTTTATGGAATGAAAAGATGATTATGTAAACAGATTTCTTATTTCATTTTTAGAAAAATGACGGAACCTCATCGAACTAATGAGTTTTTTGCAACGCAATTGCCAGCAAGCATCATTGATTCTTTAGAATGTAAAGACGAATTAAACCCTGATGACTTCGAAATCATCGAGCAACAAAACGGATATTTTAATATTCAAGAAGAAGCAAAGAACAGGATAAAACTTCTGCGAAAATTGCAGATTTATGTTGGAAAGATTGCAACAGGAATGGAGTTAGATGGATCAATCGACCATGAAAAATATTTATATACAATGCTTGTCGAAAATTGGAAACAAAATAACAAAGATAAACAACTTGACAACTACGAAGAAATTGCAAATGAATTGGATGATTTGCTCAAAAATGAAAATTATGAGAATATTAAACAGATGCTTTCATTCTAATAATAAGAACAATGATAAACCTGATGATAGTATGTAACAATCTACATAACTCGCAACACAGTTTCATTATTTTCCAGTTCGGGAGATTCATTTGAGAAGAATTACATAAGAGATGGAAATATTTATACTTACAAACGATTGACTTTATTATCTAGTTCCTAATGGTAAAAATTCCAATAAAATTCAAACAATACAAAAAAAAGTTTATTATAAAGAACAAAACAAGGCTATTATTCAATTAACAAAGCTATCAAACAATTATCAAGATTACAATCAATGAAATTCCTTCTTCAAATTTAAATAATTTTCAATTAAGAAATTTCTGCTGTTAAAAACAATAGGTCATATAATATTATAATATTATTTGTTGTTTTCGTAATAAAAAAGTAAAAATTTTCAAAATGCGTCTTCTAATCTTTTCATTTCTTCTTCTGTGAGGTGAAGAACGAATTTGTGTCCTTCTGTGAAAACATCGTCCAGCAATTTTTCTGAAAAATTAGAAAGAGATGAAGAATAAGGAGTATCTTCGTAAACCATCCTTTCTCTCATGATGTTATCATTTGCTGGATTAACAAGAGAAACGGCTCCTTGGAATTGACTCTGATCTAAACTTGTATTTTTGGAATTTCCCCAAATATACGTTGTAAATCCATCATACAATGTATATATCTTGTTTTGATCAAAGTTATCGATCTTTTGTTCGATTTCTTGGCCTCTTTCTAAATCAATAATCTTTGAATTTACGATTTGCTCCAAAAAACTAAGTTTTGCAGTACTCAGACGTCTTAATTGGTACAGCTTTCGATAGAATGGCGTTGACTCAGAAAATCCTGAAAAATGTAATAAAGAAACAACTTCATAAACTAAATTTTCCAAATTTTTGGGGTAAATTAGTTTAAATTGGTCAGGTTTATCTTTATAAAGTCCATGAGTTTGATAATCAAAGAATATTGGCCAGAGAATATTCCTTGCCTTCATTTCGAAGTCTTTTTCGTTTTGCAAAGCTTTTTCAGCGAGAAAAGAAGCGATGTATTTCAAAATAACATCTTTGTAGCTCTCGTTAAAGACATAGGACATACTATCAGTCAAGTCTAGATGCCTTGTGAAGACTCTCATGCGTTTTCTTCCTTCATGAGAAATATAAGTAATTATTAACTGGAAAGGAACGGATTTCTTACCCAATCCAACAAGAGACAGTGGGAATATGACTGATTCTGTCGAATAAAGTGAGAATTTGTCAGGATTTTTTGGTCGAAATCCAAAACTCGATTCAATTCTAATATTTTCCAATGTTTTGAGTGAACATCGCATTTGTATTGCGTTACATAATGTAGATGTCTCTTTTTCAATCTCATTGAATTGATTTTTCTCAAGTAAAATAAATTCTCCTCCTGTGAAGTCAGTTATTGTAGATAGAGCAGAAATATCGATCTCTTCACTCATGTAACATAGAATACTGATACTTATATTATCTTTCTGGCACTTTTGAATGATATTTTGAAGTTGGGAATTGATATTCGGCGAATTAAAGTAGCTATTGTTTGTAATTTGTTGGAATTCGTAGGGCTGTGATGCAAGGAATAGACATATCCTTGAATTTTTCCTTGCTCCGCTTGTTAAATGAGATAATATACTATTTATATGAAATTTTTCTTGTGATTTGTCATTTATTAGCTTTGTAAAGTTCTTTTCATTTGTTTTATGAAAGATAAAAGGTGGTAATTCTGTTAAATCTGATAAACAAGGAAAATCATAAATTTTTGATGGAGATACAAGATAAGAAATAATATCAGTAGCGCTAGCAACTGCAAAATTTGTCATATCTTCTGGAATTGATCTGTTAAAAGAATTTAAAACAATTGATAAAAAATTTGTTGAACGAGATTGTAAAGTTGAATCAACAACAAAGAATGTTTGGGCTGACAGTTCATCTAATTGAACTTCAAAATCTACAGCATTACTAAAATTGAAAGGAATTAACTCTTCATTTTTAGAATCGCAAAATTTGCAATTCCATTTTGTTTGAGCATAGGCATCTTCATCTGTTTTTGTTATATATTGGCCGCATTTTTGGCATTTTGGAATTACTAAATTTTCGCATGAAATTTCTGGATTGAACGGATCAACAGCAACAGCCATTGGTATTCGAGCTTCTCCAGATCGAAATTCACAACGTGCAAAATGCTCAGATGTCAATTGAATTGCTGTTTCGCTCATAAAATTTTGAAACTTTTTTTATACTGCGATAACTTTATTTTTTTATACTGCAATATCACATTTTAAAGCAAACGTTATAAAAGGTAGTAAAACCGATGAGTAAGGATGTCAATTTGGAAGAAAAGTGAGAAAATTCCTAAAATGCTAAAAATGAATTTTCCAAACATACTTTTTTATCTCATTTTTTTGATTTTGAAAAAAATTTGGAGAGAAGAACTCTTCGTTTTTGAATTTTGTCACGATGGTTTTAAAGTATATTAGACACATGTATTGATATTACTATTTTTGTATATTTTGAGAGAAAATCCCTAAAAAGTGAGAAAATCTGAGACGGTTTGAGAAAATATATAAACTATTGAAAATTTGAATTAAACTTCTAATTTGGAAAAAAGAAATTTGGAAAGAAGAAAATTCAAAAATCGAGATTTAGACTCAGTATCAAATGGAGAACAAAATGTTTCTTCATATGAAGGAAAAAATTTTCTTGAGAAGAAATAGAGTTTTTAAAATTTTATTGTATGTAATGAAATAAACAAATATTAAAATTATTTTTTGATAACAAGAAAATTCCCAACAGAAAATATTTGAGACAAAGAAAAAAGAAAATTGAAAAATATTACTCTCCTTTACATTTCATGAGATTTTCAATTTATTTTCATAAAATTGACATTTTATACGTTTAGATGAAAATAAGTGATTTTGCTTGAAATAAAAATTATTGTTTGTTTACAGCTATCAAATAGATTTTTGCTATTTTGATTAAAATTTGTTAAGGGTATAGTCCACTAAAAATTTTTAAGTTTTGACAATGAAAATAAGCTCTGTGACCATGTAAATATATATCTATGCAAAACGAGAGGTTATGCCATAATTTTTTTTAGTTATCAAATTTCCCTTTTTTTGAGAGAAGTCTCTCAATAATTTGAGAAGAATCTTTGATATAAAGAGATACACATTTGTAGAACGAAGTAAGTGTTTTCCAAACATTTTATATGTTCATCCTGTATAACAATATAAAGCTGCATAGTGCCATCTTGTGCGTTTGCTATTTTATGTACTTTTCATTGAGATAATCCCTCTTCTCGGGTGATTTTAACAGTCAACTCAATTTTAAAATAAAGATTTCATCAAAATGATTTCGAAATTCGGATATTGATTATATAAATAGCACTGTTAACATATTTTGGATGAGTAAAAAATACCTTGTTTTGTATGCATTTAGTACACCTTTATTTTTGATTAAAACTATAAAATTTTTATTCCTTATATAATAAATAGTATATGTTACATAAACATGAAATTCAATAGCATTCAATTTTGGATTTTTTAGATTTGGTAAATTTTAGAAGAAATAAAATCAGCAATCAAAATAAAGAAACTTTTTTTGTATCTTCTATGATTACCTTTTGGTACTAAATTTTGCATTAATAAGTAAATTATCTGTATTATTCTGTGAGCACAAGCCCTCAGTTATGCTGGTAGTGAATGATGAATCGTCATTTTGCGAAGAGAACGCGATTATTAAGGTAATTTTGAGAATTGTCTTGAATTATTTAAAATTAAAGTTAATTGAATAGGTAGGATAACTAGCCTTTGCTAAATTTGTATAATTTGACCTTATTCTAGTTGGATCTGAGAATATTTTGCTGAAATAATAAATTTATCGCCGATTTATGAAAATTTCTCTGATGGGACCGACTCGCTGAAACGTATTAGTGTTAATGGTAACTTGTCTGAATTTCAAATTTTTTTCGAAATCCAAAAAATCACAAACAAAAGCATCAAAATTAGATTTGCATTTAAGGTTTTCATTTTTTTTGGAAAATAAAAATATTTTTTCCCCAATAAAGTTTATTTTTACTTTTGAGAGGAATAGAAACGTTATTTTGGAATTTTGAAACGACAGAAATGTTCCATTTTTAATGTAGATTCTAAAATGGGGTCAAATTTTTGATTGAACCGTTATCCATTGAAAAACCTCGATTTTAAAATGTTATTCCAAAATATTCATCTAATGATATAGTATATATTTATTAATTATTACTTTTTATTCAATTTTCACTTTTGGCGGGATTTCATTTTTTTTTGTTGTATGGGCCATATTGTTCACCCAAAACGGAAAACAAAGGCAATGCATAACATTTTACTCCACGAACGTCGTCGACTCTCAGCGCGACAGATGCTTGGTGCTTGCATAATGACCGGAATGCCATATACAAAAGGTGCTCGCTTTCTTTCTCTTTGTGGAACTAAGCCCCCTGTGAAGAGTGGTGTCATGAGACAACAGAGATTTTGTGACGATAAGATTAGAAGACTTAAAAGTATTTCCCTAATGCTGTCGAGAAAGTCCTTCAGTGGTTACTTATCCATTGATGCAAGATGGACGCACAGGCGAAACTCGCCAAGTTGTACAGTAACTGCGCTCGATGCTGTCACAAAAAGAGTTCTTGCATGCGTGAACATCAACCATATTGGTGGAAACAGACAGCATGCTCAGTATTCCGGAGCTTCCAACAATATGGAAAGTGCTGGAACTCGAATCATCTTGAAGCAATTAAAGAAATACAATATCTTGAAAGATGTTAAAGAGATTATTAAAGACCGAGATAACAAAAGTGTCTCTGTCTTTAAAGAATTTGGCGTCTCTCATCTTGAAAGATTCGATCCAGGTCATGTATCAAAAAATATCTCAAAAGATTTTACAAAGTTCTCAGCTTCTCATAAGACAGTTGAAGTTTTCAACGACAAGACTCAGAAGATTGAAAAAATAGAGAGACCTTTCTGGGGTCTGAATGCAAGCCTAAGTATGTGGCTTTGGTCATGTTTTGCCGAAGAAAATATTGACAAACGTACGAAAATGTGGGAGAATTGTGTCTACCATTACGTAGGCAATCATTCTTTTTGCGAACCGCACAATTACAAATGCTTTGAATGGCAAAAAGGTGTCAATTCGATCCAACTTCAATTCATGCTCTATGACTGGGTTCACAAATGGACACCCATAGTTTCCAAAGTTTCTTCCATTGGATCTACCTGCATGAATGAAGCGTTTAACTCCAAAATTGCATGCTATTTGGACAAATCAAGAGCCTGGAAGAACATTAACATTAGAGTTAACGTTGCAATCTTAGAATGGAATGATCCAGAGCATTTTCTCGGAGATATACAAAAAGCATTACATCTTCCCCCACTTCCAGAAGATTGTGTCAAATCATTTGAAGAGAATTGTTACTCCAAAATGATATTGAAACAAAAAACTGTTACAAAAGGTTCTAAAAAACAGAACAAATACAAAAAATCCATTCAGAGTGTACCAGGAGGAGATTATCAAGTTTTCAAGTCCGAATGGGAATCAGAAGACGAAGACATTGATGACTTTGATTAACGAAAATTACATTTTATTTATTGTTTTTGTTTTTAAGGATACCCTTACATTGCGTAGTTAGAAAGAGAATATGATATTGTCATGATTGCTAAAGTTTTAGGCTCCAGAAATGAATATACATCAAACTGAAACAATTGATAAATTGAATGAACTTTTGAGAGGTTCTCAAATAAAAAAAATTATCTAATTTTTTACAATATTACTATTATTTTATCCACATATGTATATATAGTAATTTGAGAAAACTTTTAGGAAAAAATAAGTTTAATAAAAATCTGAATTTTACTTGTTGTGGGATTGTTATTAATTGACACTCCAGACGTATTACTAATAGTTATGCGTATGCAATTAAAGTATTTCTGATGGACAAAATGTGAGATTTATATCAGATAATTCATTTCTACTATTAAGTTATTCATTTATGAGTTTGCACTTATTCGCACTAAATAAATAACTATTAAAAATTGTTTTAATTAATTGACACCATATAATAGAGTGAATTTTGTTTGATCAAACAACAATAGATGATAGATATAAAGCCAAGAAACTTGCTATTAATATGCTCTACTTGCTATTTCAATGTAAGTATGATATTTTCTAAATGTTTCGTTCAGATAACTTAGATATATTAGTCAAAATTTGAAATTTTAATAGCACATATATTAAAAATAATTATTATTCATAAAAGATTAATGAAATAGTAAAAAAAATCAATCAAATTATAAAAATACAACATTTAGAAGAATTCTTATTATCCTTCAAAAAGTCAGTATTTCTGCTGTAATTTTCTACAACATTGTAGTTATTGCACTTTGTCTATGGATTTGTATATATGTTATATATAAATTATATATCTAAACTGCCCATAAGTGCAATTTTTATATAAATTGTTTATTTCTTTAACAATTTCATATGAAATATGCTTTTTTAAGCGTATCAAAGCTGTGTTCTTAATGTGCATGGATATATCAAGAAAAATGTCGAAAAAAAATGTGAATTCACAAATTCACTGAATTTTCACCATTTTTTGAATTTTGCTACAGCACTAATATTAAATAATACTAAAATCTTCTGTCTTTGTAAAAGAATAAATTCTGACAAAAAGTGCTCGTTTAAATTTAATGATCATCTGTATGACTAAGTGGTAAAAAGTGTTTATGACCAAAAAAGGGTTACATGCTTAGTCTATTTTTCTGACAGGATACTCTAGATTTACATGATCTCTATTTCATATCTCCGTTTTTAGATTCTTCGACAGATTTTATGATAGAAAACCAAGATTAACAAATTTCCGGCATGTTAATGAAGAAATCTGCAGCTACCCTCAATATTATTTCAATAATCAGTATCGTTTCTCTTACAATTTATTTTTTTCTCAATAATTTAACAAGAAATAACAATACACACTTGGTTTTACGTATAAAAGCTAAGTGTCGAACTTAATCAACTTTACTTACTTAGCAAATGAATATTTTTGTGGTTGCGAGTTCTGAATGCTGAAGTTTTAGATTTCTCTATAAATGATATCATTGCACTTACAATGTTGTTCCAGCCTATCGCATAAATCATAGAAAATCCAAAAAAAAAATAATATAAAGAAAATTCATGTCATGAA